AAGTAATTTATAGAAACATGCGTACTACTATGAACGATCATTCATTCTCAACAATCAAAAACGACACTCCACTAGCAAAGAGTTCAATTATTTTTACAGCTATGCTAGGAAAACACTACTTCTGCTTATGGAAGACTATTCCGGAAATATCGGAAAATTGTAGTTGCACAGGTAACTCTCAGATAGTGAATCGCACACCACAAAATAGTTACGGACGCATTGAACTTCGTGTAAATAAAACGTTGCGTGGAATATTAAGAAGCGTAAGAATGTTCTTGCAACTTTAATTCGGACTAAAAGTGACGTACTCACAGGAAAGTCGGAGTGTTTATTAAAAGAGGTGGGAGGGGGCGGGGGCTGTTAGACGTGCGTGTGGTGGTTGAGAGGGGGGGGCGAGCGGAGCTGAGCAAGCGCGCAGCTGTATAGGGGCGAGGGTTGAGCCGCCAGCCACGAGGGCGGCCGCTCGGGTTGAGTGGTTGTATAGTGTATGGCATACGTGTGTGGTAGCGTGGCAGGCGGTGGTGCGTGGATGGGCGAGGGCGGGTGGGGGCAGGCGACGGTTGTCAGCGAGGGTGGGTGGGCGTGGCGTGGACTGCCCGGTGGGTTGGTGGTTGTGGCGTGGGCGTGAGTGTGTGAGGGCGCCCGACGGAGGGGAAGCGAAGAAGTGAAAAGGTGGGTGATCGCGCGCCGTCGCCGCCTCGACCGCTCGGGCGCCGTTTTGAAGAGCCGTTCGCTTCCGGTTCAGTTCTTTTGTATGGATTGCCTCAGTGCGTACGGAAATTCTATGCTTATCTAAAGCTGACAACATCATGTTTAATTCATCAATGAAGATTTATTTGAAGGTTTGCGTCCCATATATTATGTCAGTGTCTGAAGTTGAAGGGTTTGCTAATTTTTTGGAAGATTGTAAACTCCAAAGAAAATTGTTTAGTTTAATGCTTTACGAGTTCTATAAAAGATCCTAAGAAGGATGTGGTGCACAATTTGTGACAATATATACGGAATTGTAGACAAAAATGTCATCATGTTTGGCGCCAGCGAAATTAAATATGAGTTTTCTTCTGTATAAGTATCGTATTCCTCTTTAGGAACTGAATTTTTCAGTCATGTATTACCCTACACATTTGTTCAGTTGTTTATAGCGTACTAGGTATGTTGTTTGGAAAGTAAAATACCTCTACAAACTTAATCTTTACACTGCCACGTGTTTCCCGCCTGGCGAAGCCATATGTATAACTGATGCATACGCTTTGGTCTTATTGGTGGTGGCCTGGCAATGCAAGTTTGAGATTAAAATACGTGGCAGTCAAGCTAAAACTGAAACAACTCGCCTTTAGGAAGGAGATAAATAAAAAGAAAGCTGCATACGCTACTGGCACAGTTACGTACAAGTGTGCAGCGTCTGTGCTCCTGTACCGTGGTGAGCTCATTGTACGTTTCTTTGAAAATGAGGAAAATTTAGATAAAAGGGGAATGCCTTGTTGGTGGTGTATTTTAGTTAAGGACAGTAGAACGGAAGAGTAAATGCACTAGAATATTTGGGAGAGTCGATATAGTGAGATGTACGTATGGAATTGGACATAAAGGAACAACATGTATTTTTGAAAAGTGAAAAAAGCACACCTAACTACTGTTTTAAAATTGTTGAATTAATTAAATATTGTGTTGTTCATTACAGTTTGCACACAATATTGTTAAATGGTGTTTTTTAAATTGTATTATGAAGAATATATATTTTATTTTTATTTTGAAATTGAAAGCATTTTTAGATTTAGTATTTCACTAAGTTATTATATTCAAGCCTATGGTGAATGTCATAGAATCATCACGCCTAAAAATAATTTTATGGGTACTCTTATTTTCCCCTGTTAAGTAATTTTTTTAATGGAAAAGTAAATGCCATCTCAATATAAACTTGACAAGCCCAAACGAAATAACCTACCTTCTACCACAACACCTTGACAAATTAGCCATTCTTAAACTAAGTGGGCGAGGCAAGGCAAGAGAAGTCTAGTGATGAAACGGGAGCAGGCAGTACAGTAAAAAGGGAGGGGAGGTAAGGAAAGAGTAGAGTATCAGCGCCGGAGGGCAGATCAATAGATGACTGGAAGGGGGAGGAGGGAAGAGAGGTACGGGAAAATCTCTGTTTAGGGTGAAGGGCCAGGCCCTTTGAAGGCGGCGCTGGGCGTTCTCATATTCCGCGCAGGGCATCACAGGCCACAGGGCGCGCAACAAGAGATTTTTATTTCCCTTTGATAGCGCCTCAATGTGACCCCGGCCTCCTCACATTCCACCCACTGTCTTTGCGATTAGGCGGAGAGTGGCTGTGATGCACATCTAACCAGTCGAAACACGACAGTCCCTATTTCCACAACCACATGATAATGCTACATTTTCGTAGTATTGCACTGTATCTAATTAACGAAGCCAACAGACGAACGAAAAGGCACTCTTGACGGCCGGTAAGGAGTTAACGACACCAAACCAGTCGGTTATAAACCTCGGTTATCGCTTATATTAACAAACACTAATTGCGTCTTTTATTAGCTGTATATCGGTCTAATGACGTTAACAACTATTCTCGTAATGCATTTTACTTCAATATTGCAATTTAAAGTTATATAATTGATTACACAATAAATTTAAAAATATCTACTTCATACTATCTACGCAAATCTCATCATAAACGTGACAACCGTGAAGCTTCGAGGTCGAAGAGTTCATTCGTAGAAGATTCGAGATATACACCCCCCCGTCCTCTTCATTCGGCGGCGGCGAATGCCGTTCCTTCGCCGGAGGTCGAACCCAGCCCCACTTGGCGCCAGCCTTCGACGACGAGACGTCAACTGGCGAGTTACGTGCGGCGCAAGCGTAGATAAATCGAACACAAAAACGGCTCCTCGCTCTGACAATAAACGGCGTCCATCTTCAAAGGCGCGCGATTTGCCTTCGCCTCAATTTGAGAGAGAAAGGTACAGTGGAAGCTTCGTTAGATATATATTATGACAGTTACTGCAGTCTGTATTCTTTTTCAGAACAATTTCTATTATTATTATTATTATTATTATTATTATTATTATTATTATTATTTCAACATGCTATAAAACTCTTCTTAAAATATATGGATAATAATCGACAACTAATATGAAAAGACTAATGCTCTTTAAAATCACTGCTTTCAGGTTTAGTTGGTTCTTGATTTGCAAAGCTTTTCTGTCGGGCGAAGAGGATGAACGAAAAGTTGAAATCGTTCGATGAATGAATAAATGGTCATTCATTCATAAAACAGTCATCGAACAAATTTTGCCTCATTTTATTTGACGAGTATGTTGAAATATTCTCTTTTACATGCGAGACATGCTTACTAGGCTGCGTTAGGCTTCCCGTCGAACGACAATGCTTGTGGCGTCTTCGAGCGCTGCTTTTATTCGCACAGTACATGATTCAAAACGTTGTCTCGAGGCGTTAAGGAAATTACATTTTCTCTTTCAACTACACGCATTACAAGGAACCACTGAAATATATTGCAACTTTGCTAATTTTTCGCAACTACTACATATCTTTCAAACGCATGTTATTAGTGGAAAAGTCAGCAATATACCTAAGAGAATTTTGAACGTATAATAGACAATGGCAAAATTTTTGCAGGGAAAATAATAAAGCCGCATATTTTTGCGACACATACACAACGCGTGTATTTACAACTGTGTAACTATCTCTTTTAAATAACTTTATCTCTATTACATAGTGAGGAAATATGAGACGTATGGAACACTGGTCGAAACATATTTTTTCCTTTAAAACTTTAATTGGTGAAACATTTTCTCATGCAGAAAATACTCACTCCAGTACTAGTGTTCAGCAACACGCCAATAATACAGGTGTATATTTTATCAATATGCACTAGTAGCACGCGATAAGAACATTCAGGGAAATTTGAACATTTACATTAGCAGTTTGGAGAATTATTTTCACCGCGAACTATTTTGTCGACGAAGTTCTGTCCACAAGTTCAGAAAAATCGATTGTCACGTCGCTCCAGGAACCGGTTCCATTATTAACTCACCATTTCGGGGCGGCACATTCGGAGTCAATCCATCAAAACGCGAAAGAGCGCTTCCGTATGTGGCGTTCCTCAGGAGCGTCGGCGCGACCTTTACTATTCTTTTTGTGGCGCCGCTGAAACGTCTTGTTTACGTTTTCAGGCATTTCTTGCATCGCACAGCGCTTTACGAGCTAATAACGGCAGGATAACGTTACTCTTCAGCGCTCGACGCCTCCTTCAGCTTCTTTCGAACATTTGTGGCCACCACTCTAGAGCTGACAACGAATGCAAGGTGCCGCCTTTCCCAATATCTTTGTCATCAAGATTAGCTGCTCCTGTGAGCGTACTTCGCTCGAAATGAATCATTGCTTTAAAGTTGTTAGTACTGTCACTGGATTTCACTTGGCTAGAACTGGCCCTGGACTGTGCGTTCAATCATACAGAATCAGTAACATTCGTGTGTAATAATAATGTTCTTCTAAAAGTTTGTTAACAAAGACATATAACGTTGCAACTAAATGAGGCAATGCGCAATGAGGCAATAGATCAGAGTCAATTTTTTTACGTACTTTTTAAGATTTTACAGGTTTTTGACCTCTTCCATCCATAACGCCTGCCTTGCTGTTATATACATTATGTCATGTAAATGAAATAGTGCAGAAATAACATGTGCGTAATATAATAATTCTATTCAGTTTTTGAATGAATTATTAAGAGTTGCTGCTGAACTAGGCATGATGACTTCCTGGAATTTTCCATACGATTTCGAGCTCGCAATAATCTACAAATTCAGCAATCTTGATGAATGACGAAAGTTACTTATCAATGTGTGGCAGTACTAAATGAACGCAAGTTAAAGGAAGGAGTTTAAGTCGGAATTGACATTCCAAAATTTATCGATGCATTGTTTCAATCACTGTTAATAGATTATGTATTAACTGAATATTTATTTCATAAATGCGCATCTATACATTTAGGTATTATTGTTTCTTAAAAATGATATTAACATTTACAAAATAGACAAAGCAACTTCACGTATAAAGTATTAATAGCAGAAATCTCTCAAAAATAATACTCTAGCGTAAAATATTTTTATATTTTTCTTGGGTTGTCACATGTGGCTTCTCTCCAGAAATTCGAAGGAAGTCTCTGGATCTCGAAGACCCGCAGAGGTTGACTCAGCTCACTCTGTTGCTTCTTGGCGACAGCAGAATTTGGCTTCTCCACAGACATGCATACCTGCAACAACAGAGAACAATCATTAAAGAAGGTTCATCCGTCACCATCACTAGGAACTCATTCAATCTCTGTCTAAGTACTCAGGCCCTAATTCTTTCTCATCACTCCGACCATCGGCTAATTCGAGTTCAGTAAATTCCCCGTAGACCAGCCCTCTCTGTCTCAACGCCTTAATGAGAGGGACATTTTTGTTGGTTGTTCCTCCATGAGACAAACAGTGTCAGAAGTTAAGAGATCCTGATCTCCTAGCCTTCAGACACTTTCTGATCGGTGGAAGAGGAACCAGCAACGGGTAGTCCCTAATGGAAGGAATGAGGACTGGAAGGGCATAGAACGAAACGAGCCGTACCGTGGACCATTTTCCAGGAAGCGCTCTGGCATTCTCCTGGTAGAGATCAAAGGAAATGACTGAATGCAATTTTCATCAAGACTATGGTCTGCTTTGATCTAGGTATTCAGCTACTGACATAAATTTTCTAAGAAAAACATCAGACAGATCTTGCAAATGAACATAATAAACTGGGAAAGTATTATAATAATAATAATAATTATTATTATTTTAATTATTATTATTATTATTATTATTATTATTATTATTATTATTAGAAACAATCAATATATCAAGTACTATAAAAGCAGAATAACACTTGTGGAACAGAAAATGATTTAATATAAATCTATTTTCTTATAATACATTGAGTATTGAGTGACTACTGATAACCTAGTCTTTCGTATTACGTATAAACGTTTGTAAACAGTGTCCCCCGCACAGAAAGGATGAACTCAAAGGAGATTAAACAACGCACTGTCTCAATACTTGACTGCCCCCTTGAAGAAAAGAAACAGCTACTCGAACGGAGGCAAGGACGTAAATGGACACCGTGAAAGTGGTCTCGTCTTGAGTCGCGCTATACTCCCGTACCCTGGCCGAGACTTTTTGGAACAACCTCCCTTTCTAAACGAAAGCTCGTCGCCCTTAAAAATTGAATGGAGCTGTGCTTTCCCCCACCGCGAGATACGAAGAGGAGGGAGGTGAAAACTTTGGCGGTAGTTCGATTCTCTGCCGCTGCGCGACACCACAAAAGAGCACTTAAGAGGAGGGACGATAATTGCAAAACCTGCAATATAGGTAACGAGGCGAAATGAGAAGAAGGTATCGCGAGCGGGGCCCTAATTCGAACACATTTCACGCAATATCGGGGCACCGGAAGCCCGTCCGTGGAAATATTGGGGCGACAACGTTAACAACTTCGCTAATGCTTCTTTCTCTCTTTTGGGGCCAAAAGAAGTCGAAATGTTCCGCCTTCTATTTATTTGTTTTTTAAGGACGATAGCAGTTTCACTACGCACCGTTAACCTGATGAAACAAAACTCGTTGAAGCATAAAAATTAAGCTATCATTGCTTAAAACACAAATGTGCAACTATTTCAGTTCCGCCCTTTTTCAGGGGGTACAGTTTTTTCAATCGTCTATTTGGTGAACTTACAATTATTTCTAAACTAACCACATCGCATATTTAGAAATTTTTTGACTATGATATCTACTTTATTTTGTTTGTTCAGTGAGTTTCGTGAAGTACAATTCCTTAGTTTCAGTCACTCTCCTATAATTTTATACATTTTATTTTATATTAATACGAATAATTTATTTTTTAATTACTTGAGTCTGTATATTATTGCGTCTATATATTATTGTTTCTCTCGCCATATTGGAGCTATCGATATCAATAAACAGAATCTTTTTAGCTATCAGAAATCAAAATTTTCACATTCAGCTTACGGTTAGTGAATTTGTTTCTAAAAACGCAAAAAACAAATCTTTTCATAAAAAGTGAGGTAATGCCCACTCATGTTTTGTTTATAAGTGGTTTGAGAATTCGGTAGTCTATCATGACACATTTTCCCTGAAAAACATAATATGTTTACATGTAATTCAAATACACTGCAAGGACCATTACGTCATTTTTAATACAAGGCAATTCACTTGTTTTAATAATAGTCTAGAACCCCTTAGGTGTACTTGACAACACAGTTCAATATTTGCTCTAAAATTTACGATCGCATAAACAAAGGAAAATTACATACGAAGTGAGCAAAGAACTTAAATAGGGGCTGTATTAATGTATGACTAAAATTACGACCAAACGTCGCGTTTCAACCAATATATTGCAGAGATTTAAAAGCTTTGGGCATTCATATTTCTCACATTGAATTCTTAGGTAAATATGCATTCACTTTTTGGTGCAATTGTAAGGGTTCAAAAGCTAAAACAACACAAGCGATTGCATCATGATTTACTGCGCCAAAGATCAAATGGAGAAATTCTAGGACCTTGTATTGGGAAAGGATTTGCAATATTTTTTTTTCTTCGCAGAACACAAAGCACTGTTAGGATAGATTGATTATTATAAGAGTAAAGCTAAATCGCAATATCAGGGGAGTTGCACAACGTGTTTAGAAAGCGAACGAAAATCCAAACAGAGCCCGAGCAGCCGCCTTCTGGAGTTTTCGTCTGCCGGCGCAGAGCAAAGATCGCTCAAACGCGGCAGGAGGCCATGAGCGGATTAAAGGGGAATTGGCATCGGGCGGCATTTGTCACGCGCGGATCCGAATGCGGCGCGCGTTCACAGCCGCAGCTGGCGCCGCTACTGCGCCCTGGCGGCCGGCGCCCTAATACGCCCTCCGTGCCCTGCATGCGGAGGAGCCCCGAACCCTGGACCTCCACGCAACCTCCGGCATTACATACATTTCCTTGATCGGATGAACGCCGTCACAGACCTTTCTCTGAATGTTCCTTCAGCGCGAGGTACAATCTCTTTGCTGCACCGACGGTTCGCCGCCAATCGATATGAACTGCCTCCGGAGCAGGCTTTGGGGAAAGAGAAAACTAGTTGTTTTGGTGCTTTTATACGTTTCAGATGTTATATATAAGGCCTACGTCGAAATTGCTCTGAAATATACTTGGTATTCTTCAAATAATTTTAGCAATTTTGGGAGTCTACTATATTCTGACTTTGTAATCGGAAATGGCAAGAAGGAAATCTAAGTTAGTTTAAAGCTAATTAATGAAAGTAGATAAATGTAGTTTGGTAAAGTGTTCAATTACAAAGAAAAGGTGAAGGAGAAGGAGACAAGATGCGATATATTTGATTGCTTAAAATACAATTCAGTCGTGGAGACAAGCCTGAAGGTGAAATATAGTGTGAACAGGATTCACTGCGGTTTAACGAAATGCATGAATACCAGAAGAAAAATAATATTTTTTTTAAATACTCATACGAATTGACATGATGTAAAATACTTTTAAAAATTTGTTTATTATCTGTCACAAAGTTTCTATGGCATATAAATGGATTGGTCACTTCTCACTACAATGTGAGCATGAAGTTCGAAGAAAGAATATATCACTTCATTAGAAGGCAAACGTATTTGTGAAACTAATATTCGATCGAAGCAAAAACTGATTGCTGAAACATTTTAATACTACACAGCTTGTGGACTACAAACTGATCTTAATGTGCTTGCTGACAACACCGACTGGCAAACAAATGAATTAGTAGCATAGGAATCACGGAGAGCGACACACGAGTGGACCTCTGGGAACGCGGCTGCGGTTAGGGATCAGCCATTCACCACACACTATTCGGAAGTCTTTGGCGCGTGGCAACACTGAGTCTCGTCCCGCACCCACACGCCCTTTCAATTGCCCTGAAAGCCCCTCACGCACGATCGCTCTCCCATTTCCCTCCCAACCCTACGCTCGTTCCCCCACTTTCCCGCCATGCCTTCCTTTCGGTCGCCAACCCACCCATCCCTCCGTTCCCTTGCCCACGCTCTCACCCACTCACTCGCTCGTCCTCCCTCCAGCGCGCCCTCGCACTTGCTTTTCCACACAACCGCTCGTTCCCTCTTGCGATCTCTTTTTTACTCCCCCAGCAGCGACAGATGCGCGCCCCGCGGCGACCACCCCAATTAGAGGCGCGGCGGCGGTATCTGAGGAAATGGGTTAGGGTAGCTCTATATAGGGGTCGGACGGAGCCTGAAATGTTTGGGGAAATGGAAGGGGGAAGGAGGGTGGGATGGCGATCTGTGCGACCAAGACGCACCTGACGTCCCACCCACGCGAACCGTGACAAACGCGCCCCGCGGCGACAGCGCCAATTAGGGGCGCGGCGGCGAAGCGCAATTCCACGGCAATTACCCCCCTCGCGCCGCCCACGCACACGCGCTCGCCCTGGCGGCGGCGGCGGGAATCGATCCGCGGCGTCTGCGGCCAGCGCCGCCCTCGCACTGGGCGCCACGGTGCTCGCTCGCACAGTGGACCGGGACAGCCTCTCCCGGACACGCACGTGCATACCGGGTAATATATGTAGTATAGGAAAAGTTATGAAAAGGTGCGGAAAATCAATTTCGAGATTTAAACGAAAATATACGTTTTGAGGTCCACTGATTCCGATTTACATTGGAGGAATTTGCTCACATTATTGTTAAGTTTAGGGTACTTTGTTTTTAATATACAAGGTATTATTTTTAAATATCTCTCACGCCGTTAATATGCAAATTTACAGCAATTTGTAAACACTATTGTGTTTGTGAGCTAATGTGGTTCAACTGACTTGTAAGAAAGCTTTTCGAAAACTCAAAAAAAAATGTATTTTGGGCGGCAATAAATGGCAGCGGGCAAGAGAGTATGAAGGCAATTTCGAAAAGCTAGCCGAGAATAAAAGGAAATTGAAAATACGGGAAAGTCTGGGAGGTTCTGTAGCACCACTAGTTTATGAACTGCCCACCAGGCAAGATCATTTGCAGTAATACATTATTATATTTATTATTATCATTATAAAACAATAGTATCATATTCCAGGGATCCTGAAATAAAGATATTCACAATGTGTGCAAAAAAATTTAGTGAATGTCATCTACAACAGCGTAAATAAGAGGTAATTGCATACGTAGCAAGTATTCTTGCAGAGCTTCCATTAATCTTTGCGTCACCATGC